TTAGAATGAGATCGAAGAGGTTTCGGGAAACGAGAAAATTTTTAGGTGTCCCAGAATTTATGAAAACAGCTGTAATTTTATCATTAATTTTACGGATCACTTAAAATCATAATCATTAACTAATAAATTATTATATACCATTTATTACTATGTGGTAAAATTTTTTGAAACAGATGGACAATTAAGACATTGACAAATAATAATAATAATAAATATTTATATATTTTCGTACTTAAATATTAAATGACAAACATATTGATCATCAAAACTCACATGGGTCTTGTTTTTGAACTACAGTCGTACGCAGTGTTGAAAATTCGGTTTTGCACAAACAGTTACTGTGCAATTGCACAAAAAATAAAATAACATTCCTGTATAAAAAAAGTTATCTTGCACAAAATGTTCGTGCCGAATTTTCAACACTGGTCGTACGTACGTACGTAGTCCAAAAAAATTCTTATTATTGTATTATCTGATATTTATCGACACGATATAATGAGTAATTGTGTGAGCAAAATAGTTAACAATACGTTAATACACAAAATTACTTAATTTGGAAATTTATTAATATATTTTGACACAAAAATTTTTTGATATGCACTGATTGCCATACAGCTTTATTGATAGTCTAAATAGTAAGATTGGTTCATAAAATTTAATCTGCAAATGGAAATTCTCAATATAAACTAATCTGCTTAATTTGCATTTTCAAATGTTGATTGGACTTTAGAAATTTCTGATTATGGTATTAACCGGTGTGGGTACGTAGCAATCACATAACCCACATAACCAAAAATATGAACGATAACTCTTATTATATATTAAATTACTGATAAGAACGTGATTATTGGTTGTAAGCCAGTACTTTCATAAACAGATGTTAAACAGATTTAACTTTTTTAAGCATATTACGCTAACAATTGATTGCGCAAAGTGTAAAATGCAGGTATTAACTATAAATTTTTTTTAAAAAATTACTAACTCGAAAAGATAAAGAAATTAAGTGAATTAAACCCAAAAAGGTGAGCAAAAAGGTATGTATGCACATAAAAAATATAGATATATATATTAATTTATATAAGTTATTGAATTTAACACAAAAACGTAATGTTTTTAGTTTTTTTTCAGGGATATTTGATAAGCCTCTAGAGGATTTAATTAACCCAATTTTCAATCTAAATTTATATCAAATATGTGACACGTGGGTTTCCGTTCCATGTGTACCTTAGCCCCGCATTAAATTATTTTTCAAAATTTCCCGAATAATAGGTAGAACAAATAACCGATTGGAGTTCACGATAAAATTGATAAAAAAAAAATATCGATATTGATATGGAATTATTAAAACATAATTTGGAAATTTCAAATAGTAAAAAATTTAGATCTTTGTATATTTATAAAATTTACCTTGACAAAGTGCAAGGCTGTTGTGCACATTAAATTACGCCATTTGCAACTTATCTGTTATTTCAACAAATCGATGATAGTAAATTCAATTTGAGTAAACACAATTTAAGATTATAACTCTATTATCACCAATAATATTCTGAAATCTTTGAATATACCAACCAACCGTGAGAACATCAAATTATACACTGTATATAATGATTGATGAAAAATATACAGAATTTAAAAATATAGTGAAAATTTATAATTATTAAAAAGTATACGAGAAAAACCAAGAGAAACCGAGACTACAATTATATTCATATATTTATAGTATTTATAGTATTTATAGTATTTATATTTTTCAGTACAACATTTATATTTTCTGCATTTATAGTATATTTAACAGTATATTTAACAATATATATATATATTTATATTCTAACGGAATATTTTTAAAAAAATGTGATGGAAAATTCAGATATAAACGTGTGATCAATAAATCGTCTGCATAAATGATTAAATGATCCGCATGAATATAGCATTTATAAAAAGATGCATTGATTCATTTAACGCCAAACTAATTTTTTATATTTTTGAAATCTTAGAAAGTAACTAAGTATAACAATAATACGTAGTTACTTACGTAGCACTCGATTACTTACATGTATCATCATATTAACTACTTTTAGGTAACCGTTTCATTTAAAAAATTCGAAACATTAGTTTTAAAGATTTTTCATAAATTTCATGGTACTGTACCATTCCGTAACTTTAGTATTTTACGAATCCAAATTTGTTCATATATTTATACAATACTGCTACGTATACCAGTACTACTGTACTACTGTACGATACCGGTTATCATTCTATTTTTGTTAAAAATAGTAAGTTTTTTTGTGATCGGTATTATAAGCGTACAGCATTGTACTGTACATCAGTGTTAAAAATTCGTTGTGCATGTATTGTTTTTTGCACAAAATTTACAATACATGCACAAAAAATTTTTTACCCAAATTGCACAACTGCACAATTGATTGTGCGAATAGTTTGTAAATGACAGTGCTAGTTTGAATTTTATAATATTTTGTGCATATTGTATTTTTGTGTAAAAAAAAATTTTTTTGCACTGCATATTTGTGCGGAATTTTAAACACTGCTGTACATACGTACCTGATAAGTACAGTACCAGTTCAACCAGTTCAGTAACTAAAATAAAAAAAAAAAATGCACTTTTAAATAATGGTGAACATGTTTTACGTATTTAATTTATTATATTTACCATATATATATTTATATACATACAATAAAATATTATAATACAAATATAATTGTAAATAAATAAATTTAAATTTAAATGTATATAAATATAAATATACATTTTACGTATATATGTACTTATTTTTAGTGACGTGATATAATTTAGGATTAGTTTCGGTGAATCACTATAAAAAAAGACATCTCCTCTCGCCTCTTGTTGAAAAATTTATTTTCAATTTGAGTTTATTTAGAAAAATACTATAGTTTTTTGGGTTTTTTTTTTCTTTTATTTTTTTTTTTTTGTGACATAAAGAAATTTTCTTAATTTACTTTCTTATTTTTATAAACATTATTTCTTTTGACAAGAAACTTGGTTTAAAAATTTTATTTGACAAAAAATAAAACAAATTGAAAGAATCATGTATATGTATAATAAAAATTTGTTAAAAATATACATTACGTTGGTGATATCTATCACAACTACCGCTGCATCTTTAGCAAATGTTACAGGAATTCCTTCATTCCAAAATTGGCCTCAACTTGATGTGCCACCACCAGCGGTTGCTGCTTGGACTGCTTTAGTTGATAAATCAAAATATCCTCAAGCCCCTAAAAATCCAGTTGGATACGCCTGTCAACAAGGCGCTGACACTTATTGTTCTTTCGTATGCTACGCTTGTACTAGACCAGAAACTGATATAACTTATTGCCCAGATAAAAAAGGTAAAAATAAATAAATAAAATAAAATA